TTTTTTTTTGATATTTTGAAAATTCTCTGGTTCTTCCACTCATCTTTAGAAAGTATTTCGAAAAGCAGTCTATTTTTTCCTTTCGATAATTTTCGCACTGTTTGATGTGCTCTTCCCTCTATCGTAATAAATAGGCGTAAAGCTACCGCAGAGTGAAATCAGACATTTGTCGGCTGTCTTTAAGAATATTGAGTTATATCATTTTGAAGAACGCTGAAATAATCACAATTAAATTGATTCTATTGCTGACTTCTTATTACTTAATTCTAACCTCTCAAAGTCGTCGACAAAAGTTAATAATCCACTTCAGACAAATCTGTCTGGAGACTGTTTATGTGAGATTGATCTTTATTTCCCATAAAACCATGTTTTTTATAGAATAGCCATACATGTTTCAAAGGACATGCCAGAATTCAAATTCAGTATAATTATTAACCCACATTTATAATAAGAAACAAAAGAAAAAACCTTGAATACACGCACTTTCAGCAATAGGTTTTTTTTTCGCGCGTCTTATTTTCAATTATAATTCTGCTTGCGTTTGCTCTAAGTTTCGTGTCTTAATTTCAAGATCACATACTCTATTTGAGCAGCAGAAGAGTAGTTCACTAAATCTTGTACTACGTGGTGTTTTGAAGACCATTTTATTGTATTTTTGGTTTTTTGGTTTGACTGGATAATGACGCACCTTTGGGTCCTAAGCTAAATTTGGAGTATATTTGGACTACCGATTCATACTGGTTTATGCAGAAAAATCTTGTTTGCTACTAAATGGAGAGCGTAATTGTAGCTAAGCTTGCCAAGACGATATGAGATGTCTTTATCCACCAAATGCTTTCGCAAACACTAGCACAATTAGCATTTGAAATCAACGACAAAAAAGAAATTTAGATTTGGGTTATTTAGGACGGTTCAAAGATTTTCTGGACATTCACCGCCAGCAATAAAAAAAAAGATGTAAATTATAGACATGTTTTCATCCACTAACTCTAGTTTTTCAGTCACCTCGAAGCAATGAAGAGTCCAATTCAAGGCAGCTCGATTTTTGGAGAAACTACTTGAATAGTTTATCATCGAAGTACGATGATGCTTTGCAAGAACAAAATCCAAGTAAGTAGTTAAGTTTTGTATATCTGTTAGAAAAAAATCCGTATGGTATTTCTCTCCAATGGAAAGAAGAAAGGCTTGTTTATCAATTTAACGGTTTTATCTGAATTCAAGTTTACTTCTGCAACTTTGAATTCGCATCTCTTTCACCATAATACCTGAAAAATCAAATTGATCCACACTTTTTTAGTAAAACACGACGTCAAGCGCTGTCGATGGAAGCTATGCGGTACAGGAAGAATGCGATTTATCTAGATTATATTGACATTTGCACATGAACTAAACTATAAATTTGGCATAAAACAACTCAGAGCTTGTGACCCTGTTGATGTATCTAGCTAAAAGTTTCGTTGATGGATAAATGTTGTTAAGAAGATATGGCGTTTGAACAATCAAGTCTAGCTTCATCAAAGCATACCACTTTCTTATCATAAGTAGCAACCCAAAACAGTAAAAAAAAATTTCGAAAATTGAAAGCTATGTATGCTTGCTGCAGATGAGACTGATATTTGAGATCTAGAAGGCAATTTTTTTGTTGCATACCTTTTGATTAGCCTCTAAAAAATTCAGAACCACCTATTACAGCATTAACATTAACAATTTATTAATAAATAAGATGTAACAATTTTGATACAACGTACACTGGGAATTGTAGGAACTGTCATTGGGTTTCTCAGAGCATTCTTGTTTGATTCTTAATTGACCTGAGCAATGAAAAGTTAGATTGGGTTCTCTACGAACCAATACTTCAACGCTTCTGTTTTCTTCGACGCTCAGCTGAGAAGGAATTGACTGCAAATTTAACCGAGTTGAGGAAAAATTGTGTTAAAACTCTATCTTAGAACACAAAGCTATACATGTGAAGGGCACCACCGGGTTGGTTCGCTCATCATCCATTTTTGAAGGTTCTTGAATGAGCGCATCCTTATTCCAACATATCAAGGTAGGGTTCTAGTGCAAAATTGGAATTAGGTTTTGCGTTGATTTTGTAAATGGCAGTTGCGGGTTGTTTCTTCTTCGATGTTTCACCTTCAGCCGTGCTCCAACTCAAAAACTCGTACTGTGGCGATTAAGCATTCACTCATCGGTTGGGTTAGAAATGGGTGTTAAAGAAACGGAAAGACGATGGTCCAATGTTACAAGTGCCAAAACATCAACTTAAATCAAGGGCACCTGCTCGCATCTTTGACTGCTCAAGTGCTCACTGGCCCATTGAAGATATTGAGATCCAGTAGAAGATCAAATACATTACTACATAGTTTGATTGAACTAAAGTTAGATGAGCAGTTCTTGTGGTGGGGGTAACAAATACACAGGAATGTGGTGAAGCTTCTCAGCCCGCCCTCGTCCAACCATATTACCGAAGTATTGGCGAAGTGTACGTCGGAAATTTGATCCAAATGCATAGTATATCAAAAAATTGCATGACGAGTTCAGGACTACCATCAAATTAGAAAGATCAATCAAATAAGCGTTTACAATCATGAAAAGTAGCTCCAAAAAGTTCACTGTCAGTGGCTGAAAAGAAATATTGAAATCCTCTAATTAGAGTGAAAAAGTATTCACGCAACTCACCAATACGTTACAAGAAATGAATAAGCAAACGACCAATACTAGGGTCAAAATGTCAGACTCCTTTTGTTCACTTCCTTTGTTTCGCTTCATAGAAATAACAATTGCTGAGTTGATAACGATTAGAAGAGAAACAGGCCCAGCTGCCATTACAATAGTATACAAGTAAGCATAATAGATTGTAAGATAATCCTAAAATAGTTCAGAACGAATAAGTTCTATATGTGTGAAAAACCATTCAAAACCTTTTGATACCGTTAAAAAAATATGATTTGCTCACCGGATTTGTTCTCAAAGCAGTTGGACAAACGTCTTTGGAAACCGAACCATAGGGCATGCTCCAACAGTCCACAACATAAATTTCGAACATATGAGGAGAATTATATACAAATGCCACTAAGAAAATGGCTACCAAGATCTGAAAATATGTATCTCAAGCACTGAAAGCAGTTATTTTTGTCAGTTGACGACAAGTATTACGCATTACGTAACTAGTTTCTAATCTGGGATAGTAAGCCACTAAAACAATTTACTCAGGAAGATTTCAGCCCTCGCTAAGTTGTTCGCAAGTAGTTTCAGCAAAACGAATTCAGTAAAGCAACATTGGATTTCCACAATCTCTAAGGGCCCTTCTACTAGATTCAATGATCGTAGGCAACACATTTTACCTCCAGTACAAAATACAGCGTATAGCCTTTGAATGCAATTTTTCTTTGCTATAAGAAAAATTTTGCTGTTTGGAGCGATTATTTGCATGAAGACTTTGTCCCACTAGTACTTCTTGTCTTGAAAATTATAAAAGACTATAATAGACTTACCATCAGGGAGCTGTTAACAGTACATAACCTGTTGCGAACCTTGGGACTTCCTGTCACGAGCACCAGACAGTCGAATGCAGATGCTACCGTGATGAAAACACTGAGCGTCTGCGCTGTCAAACCTGTAAAAGCAATGAAATGAGCAGAAATAGAATTTCTCCAGTTATAATAATATTTTAAGCTGGACAAAGGACGAGGCTCAATAAATGTGCTGTCTTATTAGCGCATTCAGACTTTTTTTTTTGAA